GAGGGGAGACAGGCAACAGCCCGAGACACCCATTGCCGATCATACTGAGGCTTTTGTAGGCGCGGGTAATATCGATGGCGATGTGATTCTTTAAGAGAGTAGCCTGTCTCAAAGAAATTTATAAGTTTTGAAATAAAATGATCACTGCACGCTACACTAGATAGGTTTACATGAGTGACGTCTCTGGAGGTCCAACAATTTTTCGAAAAGAAACTTTTGAGGTTTTCTGAATGTATTTTTTTGCATTAGAAATAATTGAAAGAAATCTCGTATGTACTTTTCTCGGCTGGTCGTTATTGGGAAATAAAATAAAATCAATAAATCAATAAAATAAATTATTAGCATTATCATAAACGGTGTTGCTTGTACATACGTCTGTGGAAATATTGCAAAATACAAGGGATAGGGGATGATCAACAATTTTTTCGTCTGCACTATTGGCAGTTGACTGTCCTCAATCTGACATGGAACGACTGCTTGTCACAAATGCTGAGCAGCGGTACACCAAAGCTAAGCAAACAATTTCATACCACTGATTAGGCTACCTGGTTCGTTTGACCAACAGGAGATTGAATGATTTGAGTGCCATTTATAGGGCGGCCATTGTCAGTGAATCACAGATACCACAGAAAGCACATTTTTTCCGGTATCCCGATCTTGCATAACCTTGGGAAAATAATGCTTATCGATGGTTGTTGTATACGTCAAAATATCTTTTAGTATGACTACCTGCCCATGCATCAGCATCCGAATTTCGTATCAATCCGTTTCGGTCAGTACCTGATACTCTGTGATACCGAATCCGTCCCCCCTTTGAACAAGATTCGCAAATACTAAATGTGTTACAAGCGGTTTCATTTCTCTTATCTCATACACATATCCATATCGTTTATCCGCAGTTTTTTTTGCTGTTTTGTTGTACTACAACAACAACAACTGTTACACGAAGTCATCATTCTGATTTTTTTATCAATTGATTATGTCACTTTGTTGAAACTTCTATTTCTTCGTCTAGGTGTATTATCCGGTGAGTAGTACAGATCAAGATAGGGTGCTTGTGCTATCGGCTGCTGTTTTTGTTGCCTCCCCCGCCGCTGCTACCACTTTCTACACACATTACGACTATTCGGAATCACTTCTTTTTTCTCTTTTCTTAAAGAATTGTTTTTCCCATTTTCGCCAACTGTTGTGCTTTTGCGCTGTCTTTTGTCGTGGCGTCTACCTATGCACACCTCCCGCGAACCCCTATCTGCCTGTTAGCACGTGGGATTTATTTGTTGTGATCCATTTGGTGATCGATAAATCCATTGGATCGGGATACTTTTCGGGTTCGTCCGTACATCTATCGGCAGAACATTATCATTAAGCTGCTGTAAACCACAGAAGCAACTTTGTTGACCATTTGCATGCAATTTGTAAACCACTATTCCAAGGGATCCGCAGAAGGATGTGATTCGATAACCCTTTTGGAGGTCCTTAGGCATTTGTGTTAAACTTGTTCCAGTGTACTATTAGGGCGTGTTTCACCGCTCGTTTAGTATGAGACGATTTGTTTTTGTTTGCGCGATGGGTCGCCGCTTTTGCGTCCTCTATGAATAGCCTCTGATTCTGAACCACTGCTACTGGCATTCGGGTAAGAACATTGAATTGGTTTCAAGACCCAAAAGCAATAAATCAGCTATGATTCATTTATTTTGAATTGGTACTTAATATGCCTGGTGAACACATCTTTGGATTATTTAGAAGAAATTTAATAAATTTCTAACTTTCATACAGCTATGCCCAACAGTTGCTCCTTACCGGTTCTGGTTTGCTTCATCGTCTGAGGTTGAGGTTTTTAGTAATTGCAATAGCTTACGGAAGAACAGTCATCTGCTCATTAATCGCTATTTGTGAAATTGG